GGATGGTAAATGGCTGGGCAATGGCCTGGCTGTTATAACCTTCAAAAGCCTTAAATCTTCGAATCTTAAAACCTTAATTCTTCAACCATTGAAACCTTAAATTCCGAAAGTCTTCAAATCTGAGACCCTTAGAATCTCAAAGTTTTTAGAATTTTAAGATCTTAACATCTACTCATCGGACTTACAGGAAAGGGAAGTGACAGAACGGGCAGGGCAAGGTGCCCGGTGGCCGGCTGTGTCGCGTCAGCGTGTAAATCCGGCCACCGGACGTGATCGGGCCGCAGGCCAAAGCCCGTTAGGGCTTACCTTCAGGTATAAGGCCGCGCGCCCCATGCCGCCGACCATGCGCAGAACATGAACATGCGCAGAACATGCGCATACGTTTTATGCTGGGCCCTCCCTTATAAGGGGCGAAGGATTTGCGGATTGGTTTAGGCGATTTCCGAGGATTTTTGTAGCATCTCCTCGCAGCGCCCAAAACCGAGTCCAAAAACGAGCATTTTTAGGGGGTGCCTAATACTGGACAACACTCCCAGCATTGCCAGCATCATCCCGGATGATGCGGATGATGTTATGCATGCTGGCGATGCGGGTGATGCTGGGGATGTTGTCCCCTAAGTCGGGCCAATTTTGCCGAAAACGTGCAACCTGAAAAACTTAAAATCCAAAGTGGATGGAAAATGGATGGAACATGGCCTGGATTGAAATCTCAAAATCCTAAAGTCTTAGATTCTTAAAATCTTAAATTAAAATCTAACAATCAATCTTAGAATCTCAAGATCTTAAAATCTTAGAACTTAGAATCTTAAAATCTGAAAATATAAAAACATCCTAAAGTCTTCGAATATTGAAATCTTAAAAACCTTATGTCTTAGAATCTTGAGATCTTAAACTCTTAAAATATGAAATTCCTAAAGTCTTACACTCTTAAAATCTCGGAATCTTAAAAAGCTTTAAAACTTAAATTATTTAAACCTCGAACAATTGAAATCTGAAAATCTTAAATTATTAAAATATTACCTTCCTTCAATCCGGGCTATATTTTAAATTCCTTAAACTCTTAATCTTGAATTTTTGAAATCTTGAAACCTTAAGATCTTAAGATTACAACCTTAGAAGTTAGAATCTTACAACCTGAAAATATAAACATCCTAAAGTCGTCGAATCTTGACTTCTTAAAACCCTCATGTCTTTGAATCTTCAGATGTTCAAATCTTAAAATATGAAATTCCTAAATTCTCAAAATCTTAAAATCTCAGAATCTTAAAAGTTTCAAAAACTTAAATTCTTTCAATATCGAACTATTGCAATCTGAAAATCTTAAATTCATAAACAAGTAAAATATAATAAAATTCCTTCAATCCGGGCTATATTTTAAATTCATTAAACTCTTAATCTTGAAATTTTGAAGTCTTGACATCTTAAGATCTTAAAATCTTAAATTACGAAAGTCGCCAAATCTGAAAATCTCACAAAAATGAAATCTTAAAGCCTTCGAAATCTGATACTGGATGGAAAATGGCTGGGCAATGGCCTGGCTGTTATAACCTTCAAAAACCTTAAATCTTTGAATCTTAAAACCTTAATTCTTAAACCATTGAAACCTTAAATTCCGAAAGTCTTCAAATCTGAGACCCTTAGAATGTCAAAGTTTTTAGAATTTTAAAATCTTAACATCTACTAATCGGACTTACAGGAAAGGGAAGTGACAGAACGGGCAGGGCAAGGTGCCCGGTGGCCGGCTGTGTCGCGTCAGCCTGTAAATAATTCAAGAATTAGGACAAACAGTCACTATCGCGACATGCCGGATGACACCTGTAACACACGTCTATCACAGGCGGAAAACACTTAATTGGAAATACGAAAGAGGATTAATCAAGAGAGACTCCACCAATCTCTCCCTCCCTTTACATTCCAAGGTAGGGGTGCACAAGGCCAGCTGGTGCCGAGAAAGTGCTGAGGGAGGAGAGAATGGGAAAGGAGATAATATTGGATGAGAAATGCAGCATGAAACGGTGAGTGAATGAGATTTCTCCAAATATTTGCTTTTCATTTCTATATCCTGGAATTCTTCTCTCAAATTACCATAAAATCCAAGAATTTGCATGCAGTCAAGGATGTCTATCACTTACAAGATATTAATGTACCGGAGATTCCAAAGATGAATCCAGATAATAAATAATAGATTCCTAAGCCTTTATGATTACAATTTTTAACTAGTGAATGAAATAATATAGTAAAATAATATGACCTGGAAAGATAAAGTGGTTGATGATAGATTTTGCAATTTCCAACATTGAACATGATGATGAACAAATCGAAAAAAGTTAAAAACATCGTTGTGGCGGATCCTTCATGTTTATCATGTAAATCACAAATTGAGGCATCTCTGGGAAGACTACGGGAAAAGCTCAGATGATGATGATGATGATGATGAAATGAGGATGGTGATGAACCTGATGTTGAAAATAATGATGAACATGATGATGACCCTGATGATTGTGGATGATCATGATGATGATGATGATGATAATGGTGCTGAGATTGATGATGAAATGATATGATGATGACTATATTATCATCATCATGTTATCATCATGTTATCATCATGCTATCATCATGTTATCATCATGTTATCATCATGGTATCATCATCATCGTCATCATCATCAGCGCTCTTCCCATAGTCTTCCCGATTTGTTCATGTGTTCTTCATTATTTTCCATTCTGGCCGGAAAAGAAAAAGTTAACCAAAAATAGAAAATCCAAGACAATGATTATTCATGTTGTCAATTTGTTCAGGTCCCGCAAAAAAGACAAACATGAAAAACAGAAAGAAAGAAAAACAATCCAAGACCATGCTTGTTTTTCATGCTTTTCATTGTTTTTCAAGTCTGGCCAAGAGAAATAATTGAAAGAATGCTCATCATCATATTATGCTCATCATCATGTTCGATGATGAAAATGATGAAAACAATGATGATGATGATGATGATGATGATGATGATGATGATGATGATGATGATGATGATGATGAACATGATGATGGTGAGAATAACAATCAGAATAGTAATTACATAATAATGAAAATGATAAGGATAATGAACATGATGATGATGATGATGAAAATGATGAACATGATGAACATCATGAACATCATGAACAGGGGGGGCATGGATTTTTCAACTAGTTGAGACGGTTTCAATCATTTCTTGTGGCCAGAATTGACAAAAATAAAAATAAAATTGAAAACCATCGTGGTCTTGGATTTTCATTCTTTTTCAATATTTTCTTTAGGGCCACACAAAAAACAAGCATGAAAAATCCAGCGGTCTCTGGGAAGACTACGGGAAAAGTTCGCATGATGATGATGATGATGATGATGATGATGATGATGATGATGATGATGATGATCATGATCATGATGATGATGAACATGAGGGGCCAGCCTGCACCCCCTGGCGTTTTCATTTTTGCATTATTCCCCCTATTTCTTCTGGCCAGATCATGAGTTCCCCAGGTGTCCCCCCCAGGTATACTCCCTGGTTTTCCTTGAGTGTCTGGCCAGTGCAGAGCATTCAAGCCTCCAAAATGGAGGAATGAATGATGGAAGTGATTAGCAAATGCGTCCCTGCTCATGGCAAGTGCCCGAAAGTGAAACAAACATGGTCTTGGTTGTTTCTTGTTTCTTTTCAAGTTTGTTTTTAAAACAATAAGAACATTGTGGTCTTGGATCTGTCGTTTTTCATTGTTTCTTTTCCGGCCAGACATGAAAGATTGAAAAAAAGAAAACATTGAAAGAAATGAGTAAACTAAAAAATCCCGGGGAGTTCTGGGAAGACTACGGGAATAAAATGATGATTATTAGTATAATGATAATGACGATGAAAATGATGATGAACGATGATGATGCTGATGAACATGTTTTTCATCATCATCATCATCATCATCATCATCATCATCATCATCATCATCATCATTTTATCCTCATCATCATCCGAGCTCCTCCCGTAGTCTTCCCAGAGACCCGCTGGAGTTTTCTTCATGTTTTGTCAATTCCGGCCGGGAAGAAAAACATCTAGGCAAATGAAACATCCAAAACCAAAAGGGAAAATGAAAACAATGAAAAAAATCGAGGGGGTGCAGGCTGCTCATCGTGTTCATCATCATCAGCATCAGCATCATCATCATCATCCTCATCATTCTCGTGATCATCATCATTCGTATCATCATCACCTTCATCATCATGTTCATCATGTTCAAATAATGAAAATGATGAAAGTGATGATGAACACGATGATGATGATGATGATGATGATCATGATGATGACGATGATGATGTCGATGAGGATGATGACGAGGATGATGAGGATGAGGAACATGATCATAAAACTGATAAGTATGATGATGACAATGGTGATGATCAACATGATCATTCGGCGAGCCACGACGACGAGGATGATGAATATGAGAAAATCATGATGATCATGAGAATAATGATGAACATGATGATGAAAATGATGATAACCATATGATGATGATGATGATGATGATGATGATGATGATGATGATGATGATGATGATGATGATGATGATGATGATGATGATGATGATGATGATGATGATGATGATGATGATGATGATGATGATGATGATGATGATGATGATGATGATGATGATGATGATGATGATGATGAAAATCATGATGAAAATCATGATGAACATGATGATGATCAACATGATGCGCAAACTGATCATGAACATTTTCAATCCCCCCCCACTGTACTGTGAGGACTAGGGAGGCTGCAAAACACTGCCCTGTCACGTGATACACGCTGTGCCCTCTCCCCCCCCGGCTTCCATTTGGTCCCTGGCTGAAGGGGGGGGGGGAAGATTGGAAGGGGCTTGGGGGAGGTTCTGAGGGATACTTCCCCCCCTCCCCCCCGCCAGATTCCATTCACAAAGAATAACGAAAGCGCTTCCCCCCTCACATTCCATTTTCGAGGGGCAAGGTCAGGCGTTCTTTTTCAACATTCGCGAAACTTCAGGGCCAAGGCTCGCCTGCCGAGAGTTCCCTCTCACTTGACCAGGTGGGCATACACGAGATACACGACCTGAGATGCTCGCATTCCATGGCTTCAAAGCTTCAAAGCACATGCGCTTGGTGCCATGCGTAGATTAAATGGCACCTGAGATCATGCGAGCTCACGCTAGGCGGCTTGAGCTTGCAGCACATTTGCAGTATGCAGTCAAAGCACAAGAGCCAAAGCCCAAAGACCGTGAGTCTTGCGTCTGCTCGGACAGCCATGAGGGCCTCTTGCAAAGTTGCAACAAAGCTGTTTGATGTTTCCATCCCATCTGCGAAATCTGCACTTTGCTTTTTCGCTGAGATGTGTGCAGACACTAACTGCATAAACTTGTCGGCTTGCGGCAGGCCAGAGATGTCGCTGAGACCTGGCAGTCGCCGCATCGCATTGCGGTTCGAGACAGGCGCCACCTAAGTCCACCAGCGACACCCCAGCGCGCTCTCCCAGCTCAACGTCCTTGACTCAAACTCAGTGGATTCTAGCAAGGATTCTAGCAAGCACAAGTTTGAAAGGTTTGACAGGTTTACCTTTTGCACTCCCTCGCATCTTTGCATCTTTGCATCTTTGCATCTTTGCACCTCTGTGCACTTTCCCATGTCCTGTAGCATGCTCGCAATGGCACCAGCCTCGGAACGTTGCGTGCGAGACTTGGAAGTTCCATGTCACGGGGAGCTTCGGGCCCCTCCTGGAGATTTCGCTCGGATGCGCCATGTTTGGTGCCATCTGCCAATGTTTCGAAATGCACAACGATTTTGCTCACATTGCTCACATGTTGGAGAATCGTGTGAACCCAAGACTGCTTCCACGGGGCGCTTTTCCTGTTCACTTGGCAAGCTTCACGCATGAAACAAATCCTGGGAAATATCAGGCAGCAAACAAATCTAAAAACAAGATGCGATGCGCATCAAATGCCAGGATCCACTAGGCGAAAAAGTCTCAACACCGCAAGTGTCTTTCCTAGCAAGGAATCGACGGGCCGACAGGCCAAGGACTGGCCAAGGCCTCTCTGCCGGGTCAGCGCAGTCAGCGCCCCTTGCTGAGCTGCCCACAACTCCACTGGTGGCCACTGGCAATTGCCCTCCCTAGCAGAAGAACAGAGAAACAAGAAACATCAAGAAACGCAATTCCACAATTCCGCAATTCCGCAATTCCGCAATTCCGCAATTGCCCAACGCGATCCGAGCCTCGCCTTGGCAATCTGAGCCACGCGTTGCTGCGAAGCCTGCGCTGCCGGCCGAGGGCTGAATCGTCCCAACGCCAATGGCCAAAGAAATCAAAAAAATCAGAACCAATGTTGACTGAGCCCCTCAAGCTTGAGAGACACCTCCTCGGCCGCGCGAAGGCGTGAGAGTTGGGCTTCGAGGCGTTGTGCCTGCGCGTAAGTCGCTGCCTTTTCCCAATTCCAATTCTCACTGTACCGATACCGATGCCGACTCTGCCGACTCTGCCGACTCTGCCGACTCTGCCGAATTCTAATACCAATACCAATTCCGAGGCTCTCGGGAGAGCGGCGAGCGGCGCCGCGTCGCCCTTCGCCCTTCTGTTGCCGCTGCCACGCGCTTCGAGACGGCTCCGCTCCGCGAGCTCGATCGGTGAGATCCGATCGAGACGCAGAGTCGGCAGACTTCATTCCCTTCATCTTTTCATTCCCTTCATTCTCATTTTCTCATTCTCTTCATCTTTTAGTCATTTCTCATTTTCATTCTCTTCATCTTTTAGTCATTTCTCATTTTCATTCTCTTCATCTTTTAGTCATTTTTCATTTTTCATTCTTTCATCTTTTTGTCATTTCTCATTTTCATTCTCTTCATCTTTTAGTCATTTCTCATTTCATTCTCTTCATTTCTTTTAGTCATTTCTCATTTTCATTCTCTTCAT